GTTAAATATAGCTAACAAAATATATATTGTGTGTTTGATTGGTCCGGACGCTACAAGTGCAACAATTAAAGTGCTTGTTTTTAGTACTTATGTTCCTATGTTTTGGTTGATTTTAGTTGAGTATGGAGTTTGAAATATAATTGAGCAATTTTGTTCTCACTTGCTTTGTTTTGGTTTTGTTTTTATTACTCTGAAATAGATTAATCTCAGAATTTATGCACAAGTGATTGAGTCTATGAATTTGATTAATTAATTAAACATAATACATTATTGATCGAGAGTTTCGGTCATTGAATATGATTTGGAATATTGGTCTGGCTCTTGAGGGAAAGAGAGAGACAAAAGGGAGTGGGAAAATTACAGATGTGAGGAAGATTATGAATCAATGACTCTGAATGTGTATGTACAGTACAACTGTGCATGTGTCTGATGGGTTCAGTGAGGCAGTTTTCTCATGTACTGCAGTAGAAACTAATGACCAGCAGCACTCAGCTTTCTGCTCCACTTGCTCCAGCTGGAAAGTTTACAAAACACTAAAGCTCTCATCATTTGTTTCACTTCATGTTCCTCTGTTTTCTTTCACTCTTAATTCTTTTCATTTCAGTTTGTCTAAGAGTGCTTTTATCATTATGTCAAGGTAATAGAGTTGTGGACTGCTTCAGAAAAGGTTTTCCTATATTTTTTTCCTCAGCTGTGTCCACTCATATTGAGCGTGACGGGAAGATTCAGGTCTTACTCATGGTCGAGAGTGGGAGGTACAGTTCACTAGACGCCTTACACCATAATGCAATATAAAAGACTGTGCTGATATTAAGTTTTAGTAAACACGAACTATCATTCAAAAGTTTGGGATTTTATTTATTTATTGAAAGTAAGAAAGAAAGAAATTAATACTCACTTTGTGTGTATTCAGACACATTAAATTGATCTAAAGTGACAGTAATGTTAACAGATGTTTATAATGTTAAAAAAGATGTATGTTTCAAGTAAACACTGTTCTTTTTAACTGTCTATTCATCAGAGAAGTTCTGTTGCAGTGCTGGCGCCTCCATCTCAATATAGGATACTGTACAGTGCCACATACATTCACATCAAATGTTAACTCAGCGGTAGAGTTACACTCACGGGACACTGCACTGATTCACAATCACAAAATTAGTGATTACACTTACACTTAAGCACGCGCACACTAAAAAGTCTATCAAACAGCGCCTGATTACTGGACTAAGTTATTTTTTTGCGTCTGATTGCGCTAATACTGTCAAAACACCCAAGGTTTACATGTAAACACATTTGGTTATGTCTAAAGTGAGAGAAAAACGGATGCGCGCCTGTATATTAGCGACAGCAGGCTAAATAGTACTAAACATGCTGCCGCTTGTCATTAAAGGAATAGTTCACCCAAAAATTTAAATTCTGTCATTATTTACTCACTCTCATGTTGTCCCAAACCTATTACGAAATTTCTTTCTTTCTTGTGCTGAACACAAAAGAAGATTGAAGAATGTGGGGAACCAACAGTTGCTGGTCCCTATTTACTTTGATAGAAGGGAAAAATACTATGGAAGTCACTGGGGACCAGCACGTGTTTGGTTACCCAAATTCTTCAAAATAACTTTAGTTCATTCAGGTTTAAAATAACTTGAGAGTGAGTTAATGATAAGAGAATTTTCATTTTTGGGTGAACTACTATCCTATGTTCATTTAACATAGGAATGGTCTAATGGCTGCTGAAAAATCAGCTTTACCATCACAGGAATAAATGACATTTTAAAATATATTACAATAGTAAAATATTTCTGTTTTTGCTGTATTTTTGATCAATTAGGTGCTGCATTGGTGAGCATAAGAGACTTGAACTAATTTGTGAATTAAAATTACATTTGTAAATGTGTGTGTGTGTGTATGCTTTTCCTTTTTTTATACAGAACTGTGTACATACATGGCATAACCAAGCAGGACTTTGCATTGTGGTATTCTTCCATCCAGCTGGCAGCTGGGACGGACGGTATGGGTCTCGGCAACCAGCAAATGAATAAAAATGATGTTCCTATCATTGTGGATAGCTGCATTGCTTTTGTCACCCAATGTGGTAAGTTTTTTTTTTATATTCTTAGGCGATAGAAACATTTATATTTCATTTTGAAGTATTTAACGTATCTACTTTTTTAGAAATCATTATTATTATTATATTGTAAGGACAATATAAAGTCATCTCACAAAGCTCTTACCATTGACCTTTCCTAACAGGTTTGTGTTATGAGGGAATCTACCAGAAAAACGGTGACCCGGGCCGTGTGGCCCAGCTCCTGAAGGAGTTTACCAAGAACGCTCGGGTTGTTAAACTACGGGCTCAAGACCACCGGCTAGAGGACGTCACAGACACACTCAAGAGCTTCCTGTCTCACAGTGAAGATGCTCTGTTGGCTAAAGAGCTGTACCCTTTTTGGATCTCTGCCCTTGGTAAGTGCTGCCAACCACTTAATCTGTTCCTGTGAGTGAGCATTAATTTGTGTTCAGTTGTAGATCAAACTACTCGGAAGTCCAGTTGGCTGTTATTAAATGTGCGTTCAATAGTTCTTTAGCTAGTGTTTGCATTGGCATTCTTTGTTTACTTTTTACAATTACCACAATAGTGTTATATGCCACACTGCCATCTGTTGACATGGATCAGCATGATATTTATTTTTTGTCGTTGGTCTTTGTCAGTCTTCTGGCTTCAGATCTTTTCTGCTTCTTCAGCTGTAGAGGCACTGATTCTCCCATTGTTTCCACTGGTAAAGCACAATAAAAGAACAAAATACGTGTTCCGTTGTGTGATTTTCGATCTTCATCATCCAATGAGCATGTGGATTATCTTCGTCATTTGAACATGGCAAAATACACATCATATATAATTAAAACACATTTTATAGAAATTTAAGAGTGCAGTCTTCATCTCTTGTGAGTATAAACCAACACCAAACTACTGAATGCATTTTCAAGGGGCTTGTCTAGGAGTTTTACAGCAATTTTCAGGTTCTATCTTGTCATTTGTGTAAAATGCAAACAGAACTCTGTATGGATGGGCAGTACATTTCTACTTTAAATAATGTTTATTGTCCATAAATGCAGATGAACTGGATGAGAAGGTCAGAGTGCAAAAATATTCATCCTACATTCAGAGTTTACCCAAGGTCAACAGGTCAACTCTTGGTGCTCTGCTGCAGCATTTGTACAGGTAATTTCCCCTTTTTACAACAACAATATTCTGCAATAATAACATCCTCTGAAGCCAGTGACATTTCCAGTTGGTATTGTGTTGATGTTTGAAATCTGGTTAAATAGTTCACAGTAAACATGGGCACTCCAAACCCTCACTTGGAATTTCAGATTGCTCGAAATATTCTTGTAATGACTGTAATTGTTTGAAGAAGGCTTAATTGGCCCCTTTGGCATGTTTGGAGTGTAGCCTAACATTTCCCCCATGATGAACAATAATCGTTTTGTTGTCTTCAGATCTACACAACATTTGCACCTGCCTGCTTTGTTTTTGTTGCTTATATGTGCTTTTATTTAAATCTACTCTCTTCCTGTCATAGCTTTCTTGATAAAACTACCTTAAAGTTCAGCAAACAAGAACACAGTGCCAACAAAAGCTTTTCTGATCAAATATGTTTTTCCAATGCGATAAGTGCTGTATTTATTTGACTACATACAATACTGTTAAAAAAATTAGCATCAGTAAGAATTTGTTTAAACATGGAAATAATACTTAAATCAATAATTTTAGTTTAAATAAAGTAAAGACTTTTACATAAAAAAAAATCTATTTCAAATAAGTATGGTTCTTTTGAACTTTCAATTCATAAAAGAGTCCTTAAAAATGTATCACAGTTTCCACAAATATATTAAGCAGCACAATTGTTTTCAACATTGACAATTATAATACAGTTTATTGAGCAGAATATTATATTGATTTCTGAAGGATCATGTGGCTCTAAAGAATCGAGGAATGGCTTTAGATTTAGATTCCTGTGATAGATTTGCATCACAGGAATCAATACATTTAAAAAAAATAGAAAACAGTTATGTTCAATTTTAATAATCACAATATAACGGTTTTACTGTATTTTGATCAAATAAATGCAGACTTGATGAGCATAAGAGACTTCTCTTAAAAAATCCTATAGACCGCAAACTTTTCAAAAGTAGTGTAATTAAATAAAACATTTCAATCAACAAATCAATCTATGTAAATGTTACAAGTGAATTTAGGCATCATAACAGTTATACAAGCTTTACCTTGTGGAGAATGCAACAGTTTTTTCATATTACACACAGAATTCTGTGAATTCAGAAGTGTGTGTGTGTGTGTGTGTATATATATATATATATATATAAATACACAGCTTTAGACCAGTCAATGTGCAGTTTGTATAGCAGTACAGAATTACCGTCCTCTAAAAATAACTCAACATAAAGCCATTGTTGTCTAAATAACTGACAACAAAAGTGAGTACACCCTAAGTGAATATGTCAAAACTGTGTCCAAAGTGTCAATATTTTATGTGAGCACCATTGTTTTCTAGCACTGCCTTAATCCTCCTGGGCATGGAATTCACCAGAGCTGCACAGGTTGTTGCTGGGATCCTCTTCCACTCCTCCATAATGACATCACGGAGCTGCTGGATGTTAGACACATGGCGCTTCTCCACCTTCCGCTTGAGGATGCCCCACAGGTGCTCAATAGGGTTCAGGTCTGGAGACATACTTGGCCACTCCATCACCTTCACCTTTCTCAGCGAGGCAGTTGTCATCTTGGCGGTGTGTTTGGGGTCGTTATCATGTTGGAAAACTGCAGTTCGGCCCAGTTTCTGAAGGGAGGGCATCATGTTCTGCTTCAGAATGTCACAGTACATGCTGGAATCCATGTTTCCCTCAATGAACCGCAGCTCCCCAGTACCAGCAGCACTCATGCAGCCCCAGACCATGATGCTACCACCACCATGCTTGACTGTAGGCAAGACACAATTTCCTTGGTACTCCTCACCAGGGCGTCGCCACACATGCTGGACACCATCTGAGCCAAACAAGTTTATCTTAGTCTCATCAGACCACAGGACATGGTTCCAGTAATTCATGCTCTTGGACAGGTTGTCTTCAGCAAACTGTTGGCTTTCTTGTGAGCCAGCTTTAGAAGAGGCTTCCTTCTGGGACGACGGTCATGCAAACCGACTTGTTGCAGTGTGCGGCGTATGGTTTGAGCACTGACAAGCTGACCTCCCGCTTCTGCAACCTCTAAAGCAATGCTGGCAGCACTCATGAGTCTGTTTTTTGAAGCCAGCTTCTGTACCTGACACACAGCACGAAGACTCAACTTCTTTGATCGACCCTTGCGAGGCCTGTTCCGAGTGGAACTCGTCTTAGAAAACCTCTGTATGACCCTGGCCACTGTACTGCAACTCAGTTTAAGGGTGTTACAGATCTTCTTATAGCCTAGGCCATCTTTGTGGAGAGCAACAATTCTAATTCTCAAATCCTCAGAGAGTTCTTTGCCATGAGGTGCCATGTTGAACATCCAGTGGTCAGTATGAGAGAATTGTACTCAAAGCACCAAATGTCAGCTGCTCTAATACAAGATAGTATATATATATATATATATATATATATATATATATATATATATATGTTTATTTGTATGGACAGTGTGTTTACTCATCTATGATTTATATAGGTCTTTTTTCCAGCAGTATTCATATATTTATGCACATATATTACATCTGCACAGGATTCAGAGGTGCTCACATATCAACCAGATGAGCACGGAGAAGCTGGCATGTGTTTTTTCCTCGTGCCTGTTTCAGACGGAGGGACACACGGCTCAGGAGACCCGCGTGGTGGAAGACCTCATCAACAATTACATCCAGCTCTTCTCTGTGAGTTAAACATGTGTCCTCTCTCAGGATTCAGACCTTGTTGATCTCTGTCACTTGAAGTCCCAAAGTCCTGCTAAACATGAGACTGCTCCAATATTCACTCCCCTCATATTCATAGCATCATATTCACGGTTTGTGAGCCAAAAGACATTTCACAGTGTTGTTCTTATAATTTCACAGGTCTGTGCTGTTAATTAATAATTTATACCATTATACCCTTTTTATTAGCACACGAGAGAGAGAGACCTTGAATTAGTTATGGTTCTGCTTCATTGATCTTCTTGTCTATTCTAATTATTGCTCATGAAAATGTGTTGAACCCGTCATTTGAAGAGGGCTATAACAAACTGGCAAGCTGTGGCTGTTCACCCATTACGGAGTATATGACAAACTCCATGGTGCTATGAACAGTGAAAAGCATTTCCATTCAACACCATAAAATGCGCAGCTTTAGTGTAAGTGTGTGAAGAAGGGGACGGTCTTCGTGTTGCACTTGGACGTGTGCCTCTGTAATGGGATTTACAGTGCTGCGCTGTGCTAATTCCCCCTTGGCCCACTTGTACATTCATAGGCCCACTGGCTTTACACATACACACACTTGTACTTTTGGAGAGAGGGAGAATGTGTGAAACGTGAAGTTTAGTGTTGCTACCAACCATAATCTGGAGAAAATAATGGGAAATTTCACTAAAGTAATGTAGTAGCATAACACTGAGACATTCAGGTATAAATTTAAAGTTTACTATACATTACATTTTTGTTTTGTTTACAAATGAGCCAACTTCTCAGTTTTCTTTGTCAAACTGTTGAGTAAATATCTGAAATATCAATTTTAAGCTTGTATAATACAAATAAAAAATTTAAAATCAATCGCTTTATATTTTCTAAATGCATTTAAAGGGGTCATATGATGCGATTTCATTTTTTCCTTTCTCTTTGGAGTGTTACAAGCTCTTGGTGCATAAAGATCTGTAAAGTTGCAAAGACTAAAGTCTCAAATCCAAAGAGATATTCTTTATAAAAGTTAAGAGTCACAACTGGAAATCAGTTGTATTTACAACACTGTTCCAGAACAGTTTAACCCAAATATCCAGATGTGTGCAGCACATTTTGTGGAGGACTGTTTACAGATCCTGGAGAGTAGACTACAATGTCGGCAGTTCTAACTCACAGTCTGTAAGTACGTTTTCATTTAAAGGATTTGCCACTGATGATTCAAACGCGAGTTTTGGGCAGTGTAGAGTAACACTTGTTGTTTGTCATTTCTCCGATCACAAATGCAGACAGGGTTTTATGTTTACGTGGCGCGATGCAATGCAACGCAACGAGTAAAAAGACAGTATAAGTCATTATAATCAGTAATTATGTCCCCACTGGATGCAACAAATGCCTTGTTTGTAATGGGTTTTAATGTTTTTGTCTCGTCGCTCCGGCCGGACACGGCATCAACAGTATGGTGAGGGGCGTAACATTTCCGTCACACGCTTGAGGTATTCGGCCAATCACAATGCACTGGATAGCTGGCCAATCAGAGCACACCTCGCTTTTCAGACCGATGAGCTTTATAAAAATCGACGCGTTTCAAAAAGGCGGGGCATAGAGGAGAAACAATAATGTACAGTATGTGGAAAATAATGTGTTTTTTTAACTTTAAAACGCATAAACACATTTCATTACACCAAATACACCAAATAATGTTCTTTTTAGCAGCATCATATGACCCCTTTAAGCATCACAACAATGTGCAATATGAAAAATTTGTAAGCTTACATTTAACAGTCTTTTGAAAGATTAGCTTTAAGTGCTTTAAGCTTTAAGCTTTAACTCTTTTCCAGTATATTTACATTTAGAATCTAAATGCTAAAATAGGGGAATGTGCCGGCACAGTTAGATATCAATTATCAGCCATTATATATTCAAAATCACCTGACAACTCATATTCCGGTTGTGTATGTTCTTGACCATTCAGAGGCTTCAACAAGTTTTCTGACATGCCATTTGAAACGGGTCCACTTATGGGATGCTTTTTGAAGAGTTTAAATGCCCTGACTTTGCCGTTGGGGATGTGAACAGGTCTGTTTACTGTGCACAAGGGCTTTAATCTCTGTTTTTCTGTGCGGGTCCATTAAAACAGGTCAATGAAGAGCAGGTTAGGCAAATGGAGAAAGAAAACAGCTTTATCGCCAGGTGGAAGGACACCACAGTAAGTCACCCCTTTTAACCTTCCTGTTAAATAGGTGTGTGTGTGTGTTTGCAGGTGTGAGACAAAGATTTTTATAAAGCATGATGTTACAGGCCATAAATGTGTGCATTTAGCTTTTAACCTCCTTGTGTTGGCATATATGTGTGTACATTTTCACAGGTCACAGAATCACGTTGGCCTGTATTGGTATTGCTTTGAGCAAATTAGAGCAAACAGCAAGCTCTTTGTGCTACCTAACCTTTCTGTCTCCTGCTTTATACCTCGCTGGCACCATAAGGAACAATTTGCTAAGATAAGCTGAAAAACAAATTAATCTTCCTTTGTTTGCTGCTGTCCAAGTTTAAAAAGTTTCTGTGTATGTGTTCAAGTTGGGGCAAGGACAATGTTGGAACTGACCCATGAAAAATACTTGAAGCTTTTGAATGCTTAAACACATTCACATTCACACTCTCACCCTGAAACACAATACAGTACAAAAGTCGCTTTTAATTCATGAATTGAAAGCATGGTCACCACAGAAGAGATGAATCTAGGTCGTTTTCATTTGAAATGCATTTTTAATGTATTTTTTCCCACAGTTCTTCGATTTGAACAGACATGACGATCATGTCACTGGCCCATTTATGTATGGAAAAATGTCTCAGGTTACGTATGTAACCATGGTTCCCTGAGTAGGGAATGAGACACTGCGTCCTCTAGGGGTCGCTATGGGGAACACCTTCAGTGTGACCGGTGTCTGAAGTATATATCTAAAAACGACAATAACATTGGCCGGCGACAGCCTATGATGTCACTACCGGTGCGACTATAGTATAAATAGGCGCCGGGAGAACATGTCATCCGCTTCTTCGTCTGAAGCTTGCGTCCGAAGCATGGCAGGAAACCTAGAGGACGCAGTCTCGTTCCCTACTCAGGGAACCATGGTTACATACGTAACCTGAGACGTTCCCTTTCAAGGGAACTTTGAACTGCGTCCTCTAGGGGTCGCTATGGGGAACGTATACCCACGACACCATGCTGAGGGGAGTGCATGCCAAACTACAGGCGAGCACTAAGTACCAACTCTACCAAAGCTTTAAGGGAGTTGCCCCTGGGACATTAGACGGCTGTCAGTGACATTATTCCCTACAGCCAAAGGCCTAAGCTACATACCCCAAAAAAACTTACCTGTTAGGGCCAGAACTCCTGGGCCCGGGGTAGAGCTCAAGGCTTGTCCCACAGAAACACAAATCCCTCTTACCTCAGGGAACGCAGTGTAATCCAGCACACTCCACAGAGGGGTGATTATTGGTTCAACCCTAAGAGCAGTGTGACAGTGAGGACCCACGGGCCCGACCGTCTATGGAGCATTGAGCTCAGAGAACGTGCATGAAGGTTAAGGAACGATTCAAATCTCGGGAGACCTCTCAGGGTGAGAAATGAGTAGTTCGCACCTGGCCAGAGGAAAGGGAGCATGTCACGAAGCATGTACTCAGAAGAGTACTAGCCCACGAGAAGGACCCACAGGTTCAGAGGTTGCAGCGTTATACTGGGGACCTGATGCTGGGAGGCTTCCTCAGAAGCCCAGGCTGCGTTTCCAAGCCAAAGATCAGGGCTATCACCAGCCAGGAACCAGAACCGATGTCTTCTCATAACCATTCTCACACATCCCCTCGATGTTGGCATAACTACTATGCTGGAATCTGTGGATGTGGGACGAGAATGGATTTTTACTCAATCCGGAGTGCAGTATAATGTGGTTATCTGATAAGGACATGATATAAACCATCTGTCCAATAACTGCAGACAGATCCACACTATACATACACACTATACTCCCACGGGAGCTAAACACGCTCCGCCCAACCGCTAGATTACCTCGGAAATCAAGCGCAAACGAAAACTGCTACCGCGAATGCATCGCTATTCCCGCGAGAGGCAAACGCACTCATGCAAACGCTATCTACAAACTCGGGTAAATGGTGAAATACTCACATCCCCCTCAGTAGTCCCGCGAATGCATCACAATGAGCACAAGC